AAAATCATAATTCTCATTCTACTTTATTACACAGCGTCGCTCAAGCGACATAAATTTTCCACCCCCATCATCATCATCATCATAATCATTATCGCCATCGTCATCATCTGCATCATCTTCATCGTCGTCGTCGTCATCTTTATCATCATCGTCACCTTGCCTAGCTGCAGCTAAGGAAAGTTTAACTATTGTATATATATAGTATAATATATATATATATATATATATATATATATAGTATACATATAATATATATATGCGTGTATGTGTGTGTATAAATACATACATCTGTGTGTATATATGTGTTAAGGTGTGACAAAGTGTGTATGTATGTATGTATATTATATATTAATATATAAGTGAATGTATAACAATGTATGGGCATAAATATATATATATATATATATATATATATATATATATATATATATACTTAAATGTTGGTATGTATGTGTGTGTGTGTGCATGTGTGTGCGTCGTGCCCGTGTGTCAACATATATATATATATATATATATATATATATATATATATATATTGATTTATTTATTTAGTTGTTAAGAATTTGGTTATATGAATTTGGATATTTTTAAAAATAAGTATCTAAATGTGGTTATAACTATTAAATTTATCTGAGTGAGTGTCTGTCACATGCATACATACATAAACATACAAATACACATACACGTACACACACACATACATAAACATACAAATACTCAAACAGACAAAGATACAAACGTACGTACATGCAAACATACAAACATACATACATACATTCATACAAACAAACAAATAAACCTACGTTCGTTCGTACTTACGAATAAACATATAAATATACATACAAACATACGTACATACATACATATAAACATACGTACATACACACATACAAACAAACATGCATACATACAACCTAATTGTTTGTAGTAATGGCGTTATTTTAAGAACTGCCAATTTTTTTTATATCTTCCAGGTTTTTACCACAGAACAACAACAACAACAACCTCAACTCTTTTGTGACGTCATAATGATTGAAGGCCGTCACGTGATGGATGACCGGTCCTACAACGGAAGTAGCAACAATGACGTCATCGTCGACATCAACAACGACGTCGACTCTGGTAGCGACAGTGATAATACTGCTGCTGATAATGTTGCTGGACGTTTCAATAATATATGCTATTCTGGTTATTCAAAAACTAGTAATGATATTTACACAACAACAACTACCACTACTACTACTGCTACTGCTACTACTACTACTACAAAGTTATCATCACCCCCATCGTCATCATTGTCAACAACATCATCATTTGCAGCAACAGCAGCAGTAGCATCATCAGCGTCCAATCGAAGGAAACAGAAAACGCCACACAAATCAGGTTTTTCGCTATATTAATTTTATTATAGATTTTTATTATTATTCTTATTTATTATTATTATCTGTATAGGTTTTTTATTACTCTTATTATTATGATTCGTTTCGGTTTCGTTTCGTTTCGTTATTCATTCATTTATCAGTAATGTTAATTCCATCCCACAGTAAGGTAGCAACATCAAGATACCAGATACATTGTACGTCATGAAATACTAAAAAGTTTATGTACCACATATACACGTGCACACATACACGCATACACACATACAAGCATGCGTCGGTACATACAAACACACATACAAACAAACACGAACATACATGCAGAGATATACAAATAAGCAAACACATACAAATAAGCAAACATATACAAACGCATATACACACACACATACGCAATCAAGACTTAAAATCACGTGCACATACGCGCTGAAGATGCAATGATTAATGTCCCAGCGTATTAAATTTCAATAATAATAATAATAATAAAATGATATTAATAATAATAAACTGGAATAATACAAATAATATTTTAAATATGAATTATAGCAACGAGTGTTATAGTTAAATCATCAGTGGCTTCGTACGGTTGACATACAAATAAGAATAAAAATAACAACAACACAATAGCAAAAACATCAACAATAGTAAAAATAACAATGATAACAACAATAATAATAATAACAATAATAATAATAGGAGACCACGGCAGACATATTTGTCGATGAAATTAAACACAGGTTTACACAATCGTCGCCGGGCCTAATTCAGACATATCACATCGTCCCCATCCTACACATACACACACACGCACACACACACGCACACACACACGCACGCACACACAAACATATATATACATACATACATACATACATACATACATACATACATACATACATACATACATACATACATACATACATATATACATACATACATACATACATATATACATACATACATACATACATACATACATACATACATACATACATACATACATACATACATAGGTACATCACATTCATCATCATAATCTTCTTCATTGTATCGCCACGGTCGCAATCTACGATCATCATCACCGTTGTCATCGCTCTTGATGATGATGTCGTTGATGACGG